TTTAAATTTACTATGCCGTAAATGTTTGTAATTATTACACTTACGTAATATTCCGGAGTTACTATAGCGTAAACTTTTGTAATTATTACGCCTACGTAATACTCTGAACTAATCGTAAATTTTCATAAGTTTATGCTCACGTAAAAACTTGTGAGGTTTACGCCTATTTATTTTTGCTGATGACATATAGAGAAAAATGTTTTTTATAATGAAAAGAGCGAATATTTGTAATGAAAAAAAAGGAAACCTGTTCACAATCAAGAAAGAAAAGGATTCATAAAGGAAAATGCTTGTAAATGAAAATAAATAATATAACAAACTCAGTGATAAGCTATTTGAAAATTGACTTGATATTACTCATATCAACATATTGGTTAAAGAATGATTTTTATGATAGATTAATAGTTAAAGGATCATCTATTCTTATGAGCGAAAGAAGAAAGAAAGAAATTTATCAATAATGTATTTAGAAGCTTCAATAGTTTCTTAAGGGCTATGGATAGATTATAAAAATGTGAAGAAGAACTATTTAAAATATCAGTAAACGGTGATGTGATATATTGGAATAGTTTATTATTTTGCATTAGTCTTCTTGAATGAGGAGAAGGATGTAAAGATGATTAATCGATGAATGTATTTTGGAAGACTTCAGTAGTTCCATGAGGATGGATGTTAAGATGAGTAGTATTAAAGGAGGATGAATCGTTTGAATAATTAGTAAAGGATGATGTGGTATTTTGAGAAGGGTTAATTGAAGGATTATTATTTTGCATTGATCCTTCATGAACGGATGAGGAGGACAGAAGCAAAAATGATTGATCAATGAATATATCTTGGAATGCTTCATTAGTTTTATAAGTGTAAATATTGGGAGAATTAATGATATTACTATTATAAGGATATAAAATTTCTAAAGAAGAGGAAACATCTGAATAACTAATAGAGGATGTTCTAACATTTTGAGATGGACTATTAGTTAAAGAATCATTATTTTGTGCTGGTATTTCGTGAACATCAGTAGTTCTATAAGGATGGATATTAAGATGAGTAGTATTAAAAGAGAATGAATCGTTTGAATAATTAGTAAAGGATGATGTGATATTTTAAGAAAGGTTAATTGAAGGATTATTATTTTGCATTGATCCTTTGTGAACGGATAAGGATGGAAGCAAAAACAATTAATCAATGAATGTATTTTGGAATGCTTCATTGGTTTTATAAGTGTAAATATTAGGAGAAATAATAATATTACTATTATAAGGATATGGAATTTCTAAAGAGGAGGAATCATCTGAATAACTAATAAAGGATGTTGTGACATTTTGAGATGGACTAATAGTCAAAGAATCATTATTTTGTGCTGGTATTTCGTGAACATCAGTAGCTCCATAAGGATGGACGTTGAGATGAATAGTATTAAAAGAGGATGAATCATTTAAATAATTAGTAAAGGATGATGTGATATTTTGAGAAAGGTTAGTTGAAGGATTATTATTTTGCATTGATCATTCATGAACAGATGAGGAGGATGGAGGCAAAAACAATTGATCAATAAATGTATCTTGGAATGCTTCATTAGTTTCATAAGTGTAAATATTGGAAGATTGGGGTGCTTTAGCAGATCCGTATGGATGAATATTGAGAGGAGTTTTAACAAAAGAGGAATCGTTTAAATGATTAATAGAGGATACTGTGTAATTTTGTGTTGGTCCTTTGTGAACAGAGAAAAAGAAAGGAGAAACAATAATATGATTATAAGTATGTGAAATTTCAAAAGAGAAGGAATCATTTAATAAAGAGAATAATGCTTCAGTAGTAGTTCCACAGTGATTGATATTAGGAGACTGAGAATTGGACTTTGGACTACACTTTTTACCCTGTATATAAACACAAGGAAGACTGTAATTTTTACAGTTTGTACAGATGCCTTCAGAAAGTGTTACACATCTTCGATGAATCACGTGACAATTTATACATGCTAGGAACGTATTAGGCATTATCTTTGAAAGTTTACAATAATAACAATAAATATTATAGTGCAAAAATCTAATTCCAAGGTTTTGGAAAAAGAAGACATTTTATATTTTTGAAGGCCTACAGAATGTTTATACTGATTATTTATTTTTTTCGTTTCTATTTTGGTTATACTGCTATAATACAAAAATATACTGTTTAAAATAATCGTCAACTAAATACGGAAGGCAACCAACTAACTCAACTAATTCAACTCATACCTGTCGATCACTATGTGTTTTTTTTAAAATGTTATAACTTCTGCTCTAGTAAAGCAAATTCAATTCTATAACATGCAAATGATATATAAATAGCATAATTTTAAGCCTATGTTGAGACATTTTATAATTTATTTGGTTAATTTAACTAAAATTCTAAATTTATTAAATTTTAATAGTAAATCGTCATTATTAAAACATAGAAACACATTCAACTTACATATTGATATCAAATATTGCAGCATAGATTCAAAACCACACTTTTTATACACCATTCTTAACTTACAGAATTAAAATTTGCTTTATTAGAGCGGGAGTTATATATGACGTTTTAAATATGAATTTTCACGTGATCGAAACTTGCGGGAGTAAGATGTGAATTTTCACATAATCAACTTGCGTGTTGAAGCATCTACTTATTTGTGCGGGAATTGCTTAGAGCAGTGTTGTCAATTGGACATGTCCAATCAAATATTTTGATTGGACAGTTTTGGACATGTCTAAAATTGTCCAAACTGTCCAAAATTGTTCAAAACTATTCAAAATTGGGTTGAAATTATTAATAAGTAATATAGTATTTTTAAGCAATTTAAAGTTTTTTATAATTAAAGATTTAAAATTTGAAGCTATTATTTAGATTATTTGTAATATTATATATAAGTAATTATATTATTTTCATATTATTCTTATTATATATTATAAGTAAAAATGAACCATAACTACAGAGTCATATATAACTAATATAGTAAAATAAAAAAAATGATATATAGTACACTTTATTTAAAACTAGAGTTAATAAAATAATCATGTTAATAAATACTATATTATATAACTCATGTAATATTTAATTAGAATTAGGATTAAAATTAAAAGACATTATATGTTTATTATTTATTATATGGTTCACGTCACTTATAGTCATCAAAAAAATCTATATAATTTCAAATAACATCTTGTCTTTTAATTTAAGTGGTATTGAAAATATAAACCGTAAAAATAATAAACCTAAA